AAGAAACCGCTTTAGCGGCTGAATTATTTATAACTAAATATTTGGTCGGCTCCAAACATTTCTTGACATTCACTAGATGGCCCAGAGTTACTTCTGTGATTAGTGAAATATTTTCTCTGACTTGCTGGACTCCCTATGTATTTCTGCCTGACAGCACAGCCCGGAATATATATATATTTAATCCGAAGAAACAGCTTTATTAGCTGAAGTAGACAACCACTTCTCCACAAATGCCAATTATAGTTAGCCTAGGAGAAGGTTTTTGCAAAGTAACTTTAAAGTTGCATAAAATATTATCAAATAGCCTGCCCGAGCCCTTTGAATATTTGAGGGAAAGAATATTTGCGTGGTTCTCTGCAGGTCCCGAAATCATTAAGGAGGTAACTGGATATCAAGAAGCTATTTGAAGAGATAACAGCAAAAACGGTTGATTCTGATGCATTTTGGAGTTTTCTCCAAGAAAACAGCAAAATGTGTCAGATGGCACCGTTTCATGGTGAAATGAGCTTCAATTACCTAAATAAGTGACCCTGGATATCAAAGAGCTGGGGGCTGGAATCCACAGCAGCTCTATATCCTCCAAAGAGTTTAAACAGTAAATGTAGCAACCTGGTTGGTTTTGATTTCAGAAGAACTAGGAGGGCCAACACCAGCTCCTCCAGGAAGCACCAACAGCGTTAGAAGCTACTGAGAAACCAGGAGAGACTCTCAAGCCAACGGGGACAGCTTGAAGAAGACACCTGGTCTAGGCATCTCCACAGGTGCTGCACAAATTGTTGCTGGAATAAACGCCACCACGTGAAACGTTACATTTTGGCATACCTGGCATTCAAAAGGCCTCCACTGCATTTGTCCGTTGGGCACAAGGCCGGGAGCAGCCTCCGGTTGGACGTGGCCAAGACGTCGACGGCGATCGGGGCCGATACCTACCGCAACCCGGCTCTGTGCTGCCACCAGCAAGACCACGACGTGCCAACGGGGCCATCCACCAGCATGAGGAGGCCCTCATCCTACCAAACCTACCAACCAACTGAGTAGAACCTTGGGTAGAGGTTCTTCTTCAGGTAGAACCTCTTGAGGTTCTTCCTCGGGTAGAACCTCTTGCTGCCGTTACAACTCGAAGCAACGACTCACCCAGGTTTTCAATGGAATAGTAACGCTGCTTGCTGTCCACGCGCACGGTCTCGGCGTAGGGGCTGCCCACGCCGTAGCCGATGATGTAGCCACGGACCACGATGTTGGGGTTGAGCGGCGGGGTCCAGCTCATGACGATGCTCGTCGTCAACGGCCTCACGTGAAGAGAGCTTGGCTGGTCAGGAACCTGGGATTCTGGGATTCAAAGAGAAAAAAGGTATCGATTAATACTCTACTCATCCAACTTTACGATTTATAAGGTTTGAGTGAAGATTGAAACAAAGAAACAAGGAGGTGCCCCAGAGTTACATGCAGAGCTCACATGCAATTTCTTTTCTGAGCTACATTCTCCTGCCAGTTTTACACAAAGTGTCACCATTAGCACAGGGACACCAGAGCTGAAATGACACAGAAAAACAACAGATGATCTGCTCGAGGTTTGCTAGAGACACCTTTTCCCTTCACAGAGCTATTTGCAAGGTCAGTAGGATCCTGACTGCGTTGAGTTATCCTGGACTTGCAGATGAAGCATAATACTTAACCAAAAAGGCTGACTTTGTTAGAGATATCCTAGTATCTTCAGGCAATAACCTCTCTTTTCCAGCAAAACAAGCAAATTTTAACTCCTGGATATGCCTCTCTCAACTTAGAAATAACACACGACACTTAGAAATGCAATAACAGAACGAGACCTTTCATGTATTCTCAGGTAGAACTCATTAAGTGCTAATTAACCACGGGATCTTTATTTGGTAGACTTTGTCCTGCTTCCACGTTAAAGATCAGGTGTGTAAATGCGTTTTGTTGGAGTTTACTCAGCAACTACCATATCCCAAGTCTCTCCATTAGAGCTGCACAGTAGCTTGTCTTTTTGAGAGCAGAAAGAGACAAGTCACTATTTTACCCCAACGCAAAGACTTGCAATATAATAGCCAAAAGCAAGAAGGACAGAGCAGGAATAGTAAAAAGTGATGAAAACTCCAACAAAACACGCTGCAGTTGTGAAGCATTCCCACTGTAAACCTTGGAAAAGGCAAGAAAAAGAGGAATTGGCACTTTTCAACAGCGTCCTGGCTATTTTACGTGCTTTCCAACGCGTCCTCCCGAGCGCAGCACCAGGACGAAGCCCCAAGCAGTTTTTGGAGCTCTTGGCATTGCAATTGCGATCCCAAACGCGACTTTAAGGCAGAAACAGAAGTTATTGGAACGGTTATTTCTGCAACGTGCTGCTTTGGAAACAAAACCACGCGTTTCTTACAGAACCCAAAGAGAAAACAGCCATTTGCAGTGTCGAAACAAGGAGTTTCGCTGAAATTCCTCGACCATCCTAAAAGTAGTGATTGTCAAGCTGCAAAATCAGAATATTCAGAGACTCTTCTGGCTTCAAGCTGTAATTTTTATGTCTTACACAACACAGATTTCAAACGCGGCACAAACACCTCCAGGCAGCTGTTGGATTACAACTATTGGAGTCAAAGAGTTCATATTATTTATTGCAGACAATTCACACGCGCGATTGATGCATTGAGGAGCCAAATCACCATTTCTCCATGCAAAAAAGCCAAGAGCTCTTGAACTTCTTGCTCCCTCCTTGTGAAGCTAAGTGGGGTGAACAATATTTTTGAATGTATTTTGCAAATATTTTGCCATTTGGGGAGAAAACCCACAATATCCCAGATCCTTCTGGCTCTCTTCAGCTTCCTCTTTTCTCTTTATTAAGTATTTTTAATTGCATTTCAATTGACTTTATTTTCCCATAGTCTCTGGAAAAAAAATAGAATGTTTTTCTGACTCTGAAATAGCTCTAAGTTTTTGTGCTGTGCATTTTGCATCAAAAATGCAAGTCAAAATCACCTATTAGTAGGCTGGGGACCCTGCCATCTCCTGCTGAGAGCTTAAGTGACTGTGTTGGTCACCCAGGGCCACTTACGGGTCCCTAATTCCAGTGACAAGCTGGAAAAACGCGTCACGTTTGGGTCACTTTAGCAATTTCCTGAGTCTTTCGTGCAGGGGCATTGCACGAAGCCAGGGCCGTTTTTACTACCGCGATTTTGTCCCCGATGGCTTTCCAATTTAAATGACAAGGCCATGGCAGTCTAGCCATGCTCTTAAAGCACTAATTTAGAGCTGAAGTTAAACTATCTCACTATCTAATACGGCTCCCATCTGTTCCAGGCAGCGAGCAGAAACCAAGCACCCTAAACCCATTTTTCCTGCAGGAAAATACCTTCCCCGACGTGCTCAGCGATTCTCTTGCATCCTTGCTCAAGCTGTTTAAACGCAGCCCTTTGGGGAAAAGCACTGCTTTGTTTCTTTCTTTTTGAGCACCAAATTGCAGGCTTAAAATAAATATTTCAAAACTTCCCAGCTGTCTGCAAAGGCGCTCGCGCTTTCCAGGGAACCTCGAGGACGCAGCTCTGTTTGGATTTCTAATCACTCCAACAAAACACACTAATTAAAAGGAATATCCGGCGGGAGCCGGCGCGCTGCTCCGGGATGCAGGAGGAGCCGCGGTATCCGGAAGGACGGAGCGGGAATTGCGGTTGGGAATGGCAATGCTGCTCCGCTGACACTTGCAGGACTTGGTGCAATGAGGTTGCTCCCCAGGGCTTATCGGAGCATCGTGTGGGCAACCACGGAGCCTCTTTTATAGAAAACACCCACCCAAAACTACCTGTTTTGCTTGTTTTATTTTTCATGTCATTTAATGCAAGCAGCCACGACTGCTCCACGGAAAAACGCATTTGGAAGTAATGGGAGGAACATGAAAGGGGCAGAAATTTGCTGCGTGGGTTGCTTCTGAGATCATAAGGCAAGCCCTTCAGCCAAAAGCAAGCCAACATCAAGCCCTGTGGTGCATTTAAACTAATTATTTATTTATTCTTTCATCCGGCTTGCCTTTGATCCTTTCTAGGTGCTTCATTTTGTTTCAAAAATTAGAGCCATTTTCATCAGTGTTCCCTTATTTTCTATTCATCTCCTTCCTACTACAGACTTGCTCTCATCACTTCTACGTGGCCCTGCCATGACTTCCATCTGTCACGTTCTTTGTTCCATTTTATTTGTACTCTGGTTCATTTTGTTTTGGTAGACTTTTTCATGACTCTCCTTCCATTCTTCCTCAGATATCTCAGCCATTTTATCTTTCATTTCAGGCTGTTTTTGCTCTCCCTTTTGTGTCAGGTTTACAAAGCCCACGGTTTCCAGGTACCTGCATCCCCATCGTCTTTTACGGATTATTCAGCTTTGTTGCCAACCTGAATTTCTAACATCTGCCAAAAAAAAAAAACCCCTAGGAAACAGCAAGCTGAGACGTTTGAGTATTTATTTAGTGCATTGCTAGGATTGTTGGTGTTATTTCCTTGTTTATTATTATTATTTACCATCGAGATCGTTCTCCGGGGTCTCCGCCGTGAACCAGTCCGACGGGGGGCCGGTCCCGTTCACGGTCATGGCAGCCACCTGGAAACTGTATTGGCTCCCTTTGTCGAGTCCTAATGACAAAGAAATAAATAAAAATGTGTAAAAAGAAGCATTTTCACCTATTGGAATTGGCTGTTATAATACTGATCTGATCACTCATTCGCTGCAAACATACACTGGCTGTGATCTGCTACTGCACTTATTTTGGGAGGAGATCATTTTTCCCACCTAAAGTCTTGGAAAAGCAACAGGGGAAACGGATATTTTTGCAGGCAAAGGGAAATTGGAGACTGAGGATTGAGTTAGCAAACACAAACTCGGCTTCAAGTTCACTAATGCAAATGATAAAATCCAGGGGCCAAGCGTACGGTTAAACGCATTAGGAAAGGATGCGTTTCAAAAAAATAAAGATTATCTTTGCACAACACAGTAAACGCTACCTGCGGGCAGAGAAATCGATATTCCCTTGAAGTGAAGGTGTATTTTATCCCCAAAGCATTTAATTCATCAAACCCTTGCAAGGCTGGACCGAGCGAACACTGACCTGTGAACAAGTACCAGAGGTTGTTGGGCTCCAGGGTTTCAATCTCGCCCCTGCGGGTAGTCTTTCTATGTCGGATTTTATAGCCTGTAATAAATCCATTTTGTGTACCTGGTGGTGGAGGCAACCAGCTGACTTTGATGCTCTGCAACAGAGGAGATATTAGCGTTGAAATTTGGGCAAAGAAACGACCAAGTAACTCTTTTTTTTTCTCTAAATATTGTGTGTCTCGCCTAAGTTGGATAAAGGATTTTATTACAGGAAAACACCACATTTACAGGACTGATAAAGGATATTGTACATTAATATTTCTTTCCTAAAGCTTGTTCTTTATAAGCCACCAATTCAGGTATTCAGGATATTAAAGGTATCTTATGGAGCAACATCTAACAAATGTATCTCTATAGTCTCCTATAGCAGTGTATTACAAATTTTTGGCCACACAAAATTTGATCCACTGCATCACAGTGGACAGTTTTTGACCAAACGCAATTTATTACCATTATTGAGTTGCTGAATCCCTGCATAAATACGTTATAGCACATTTCAAATTAATTACTGCAATAGCAAAATCCATTTTCATGCATAGGTTGCCTAGTGATTTATTGTTACGATCAATTATGCATTTCCAAATCAATACTTCAGGTTTCCAACGCTGAGCAAAATAACGTCGAGGTTTCTGCATGAGGGCAGAACAAACTCCATTTTTCAACCCGAGGAGTGATTGGATTAAAAACAGATTTGCTCACTTTGCATATTGAAATTGCCTACGTATAAAACGTTTATGGGAGAACGCGAACGCCTGTCGCAGAAAAGTCACATTAATTCAGGCTAATTTTATAAGTAAAAGCATTGCAAAGAAAACTTTTTGCAGTCACTGAAAAGCTGTCATTTGCTTGAAATGTGTATTTTTAATTGCACCTTCAGGAAAATTTTCAAAACTTTGACTTCTCATTTTGAGATAATTCAAGGCTAATAAGTTCTCCAGAATATTAAAAAAAATAAAATAAAAATCCATGTTAAATAGTATTAATGTAGGAGCTGGTATCAGGAGCTGTAGGGAGAGCAAATTGGGGTAGTGTGTTGGCTCCTTGCTGCACGCAAAGGGGTGGCCCAGCTAAGAAGAGAGAAATGCTGCAAACGGGTGTAAAATCCCTGCGGAATCGCTCCGAGATGGAAGAGGAAGATGAGTAATCCTAGTAAGAAGGTGAGGGAAGCACAGAAGTGCTTTGAAGCACGGGGAGTTTTTTTGATCTCTACATTTTCGGACGTTTTCAGTTGAATTTTCGGTTTAATTATGTTGATTCTCCAAAAATGGAAGTGCCGGGGGTCTCTTAATTATCATGGGACTTAGACACCAAATTCATTTGGGAAAGGGAAACGACCAGAGGTCATTAGACAAGTAGCGCATTATATTGATTTTAGGATTAATGATGAGGGTCATTCAGCACGGGCCTTTAAATTTTGCACCCATTGGCATCTACTTAATTAAAGACCTTTCATTCCCTGCGTGCATTCAATAGCACTACACAGTTCCACAGCACGCGGGCATACAAATAGATTTTCTTTTTTAGCTCTAGAAAAACAATAAAAAAAAATTTCAAATATCATTTTTCTCCGGCTTAGGAGAAACAACCACCAATTCTAAAACAATTATAGCTACCTATACAGTGAACAAAAACCTCTGATACCCCAAAATAATATCTTATAATATTACAATTTTCTTAATATAATAATATTATTATATTTTTCCCCCTAAAATCAGCCAGAGTTGACAAAATTCAATGGATTTGCCTAATTCTCTGCACGCTTAGAGATGATGCCAGTTGGTTACAAGCTTAAGGAAATCTCCTAGGCTTCAAAGTCTTGGCCTGGACATCTCCTGTTAACCTCTATTGGGTGTTACTAGATGTTCCTCAGTTCAGTCTAATTAAAAAAGGTTTTTTTCAGTTATAGAAAGAGAGATCAATGCAGCAAGAAAATACGGCGTGAGATCAAGTTGATAGTAAGAAAAGGGATATCAAAAATATATAGAAAAAATCACAAAAATGTGTGAATTATATGACACAATTGAGCCCCATCTGCTGTCATTACCATGGGAGCGGGTCCTTGAGGGACAAGTGCTGTTAATATCCTAGAACTGTTTTTTATGTGGAATTTACCAAGTAACTTGGCAGTGCCACATCCAACACGCTTGTTCATTAGGTAAATTAAGTAAATGAAGCAGCTGGTCAGTATTTAGCACACAAGACTGCTCTATCCTCAACCTCTGGAAGAGCCCATAAGCACTTAAGAACTTATATGGATCATCCAGGAGGCAAGAGGGAACTTTTCACTGCGTAATATCATAGCATGCTTTGAATTTGCTAACTTTATAGGAAGAGGGAAGCAACTATTAAAAAATTAGAGACCTTTATCCACTTGTAGGAAGCCAATTTCAGAGGTTTTCCACTCTGAATAAACGACGCCAGATGTCACCTCTTGGAAATTCGTGGTGTTCTTTAGCATTTTCTCTTGGAAAATGCTCTACGAGCTCCGCTTGGATAAAATAACTCACCTGGACACGAGGAGCAAGGTGCCAAACATTGCTGGGTGCCAATGGAAACCTTATTGGGGACAAAATAAAACTACAGCAGAGAGGGAACGCGGGAGCCTGCCTAAGCATCCGCAGGAAGAGCAGAAGTAAATAGATTAGAGAGTACATAAAAATATAGGAAACAGTTTAATAAATCAATACAAAGGAGGTGAAGAGATTTGGAGATATTTAGTTACCCGAGCAGCATTTAATATGCAGCTCTGAAGGCGACTTAATGAACCAAAGTGCTTCAAGGGCTGCTGCAGATGGTGATGGACAATCCTCCTTCCTGCAGATGAAGGGGACATGGCCAGAATCACTTGGCCTCATTACTCAAAGGCTGAGAGAGTATTGATCTATATATTTGTGAAATTTTATGATGCCTGCACACTACTGCTGCTTGGAAAAAGGGGTTTTTTTATGTAAGAATCGACTTTTACGCACTGTTTTTCCCCGGAATCCCCATCCTTCTTTCCATCTCCTGATCCAGCCCAAGGAAAATGGAGCTATATCGAGCTTTTCCTGGTGAAAAGCTAATGGAAGCAAAGCTAATTCTGGCACGAATCATCCCATAAATATCACGTAATTTAAGCTCAGTTGTAATTGTTTTATTCGACAGAGGCTGCTCTGTGTGTTTTGAAGATGGAAGCCCACATCGTTTTGGCTATGGGACTGGTGCCCCAGCCAATTTTCCTCTTGGATTTTAATTTCCAACTATTCCTGCTCCCAATCCCATCTATCCTCCTCAGCCAGACGGCTTCATAACATCCAACATCTTTTATGGTTTCCCTCTTCCCTGATTCTGCAACAGGAATTGAGAAGATAGACCCATTACTCCCACAACCACGTTCACATCATCAATAAAGAAGGAGAAAAGGAAAACAGCAAAGGGAAAAACCCTTAGGTTATACATAATTAAGACACAAAGTCGTAAAAGTCATTAAATGGAAAAAGAAGGAAACCTCAGGTCCCGATTTTCATTTAGACAGAGAAATCTCCCAAGCAAAAAGACCTCAAGGAGGGAATGTAAATTTATAACTGTTTTCGGGTTAAGTTTCCAAGAGGAAGAATTCACAAAGCCTTGTTATTCTGCAGTGCAAAGTCTTCTTTCTTGGCTAAATATTCAAGGTATTTATGCCCTATAGTGCGTAAATCACATGCAGTTTTAGCCAAGCTAACAATTTTACTGAAATCTTAAACACATTTCTCTTCCCCTTAAATGATTCTGACTGCATAGTTTTATTAACGTAACCATTTTGGCACTTAAATGTTTTGACATTTAATCATCTCTTCAAAAGACGCCAAGGGTCGGTGGATTTGACTCTTAGGAATTATGAATTTTCACTGATTAACTCCTTTGATAAACTCCATTATATTACTGTTATTTATAAATTTATTTATTTTTGCAGATGGATGGTCTGTGTCCCTCAGGAGCCTTCATACCTCGCATTTAATCTCTTAAATAATAGGTTGAAGGAGAACAGCCTTAAGGATGTACAACCTATAGGTGTCAATGCAAGGCCTGGCTCACGAATGCACCCAGGGGCATAAGTAGGAGAAACGGAGCAAGAAAGGGAGAATTTAGGGTCTTTGGGAAAACAGATAATGACACGCAGTGAGATCCATGTACAGCTTCCTTCCCTGCAAAGTACTTGAACCCCTGAGCCTGTAGCTCTGAAAATTCTTATTTGTTTTTTAAGCTTCGCACGCGTTCTTCTTTACAGCAATAAAGAATAATGATTGAGAAAGGCAAAAAATGCAATAAATCTGTATGCGCTGCTGTCAAAATGCAGGAGAGAGATTTCCTTTCCCAAATGGCACCAGGCCAATATGTCTGAGGAGGATAAAAGAACATATTGCCAATGTATCTCTCTACATAAAAGGCAATTAAAATATGACGTTAAGAAATACTAAAGAAAATGAGCGAAGCACAAGCACTCGCTGTCTTTTTTTTCTTTTTCCTAAATAATGCAATAAAAATAAAATCCAATTAAAAAGACTCTGCCAATGCTGCAAAAACCTTACGACTCATTACAAGCCATCGGAAATCAGCGGCAGGCAGACACCCAAATTATCCCCCGGCGGGAACCAAGGGCATTCCGACCGAGTCCCGGGATGAAGCACTCCTGTTTATCCCGGAACGCAGCGGGATTCGGTGAACTTTTATGATATGTCATTGCCGAGCTGCTGGTGGCTCCTTTTAACGTGTTTTAGCGGCGTGGAAGATCATAGAATCATAATTCTGTTGGTTCTTCAACATTCTGTTGGTTCTTCTCCATTCTGTTGGTTCTTCTCCATTCTGTTGGTTCTTCAAGGTCAATGTTTTTTGACTCAGCATGAAATCTGGGGCCATCTCCGGAGCAGGGAAGGATTCATGTAGGTTCTCAAGGCCCTGGAGTCTCCTCAAGGCTCTTCCATTGCCAACCACCTCGCTCGTCCACCCAACACACCAAGAATCGTGATTCTCAGCTTCTATTTCTGCACCCGTTTTTCCTTATCTCAAACATATATTAACCATAAGTCAGTCAAGCCATCCCATCTTCCACAGTTTAGATGGAAAACTATAGAACATTGGGTGCAATCCAACAAAATGAATAAACATTTTTCAAAGTTATTCTCTACGGAACAACAGAAGCTAATGAATAAAGTCTGCACTTCCTGGCATGATTCAATCACGGTTGCTCAGAAGCAACGCGTTTGTCCATCTTCTTCTTTAATGCTTTCTTCTTAATATAATTAACAAATTTAATAAGACCTCCGATAACATCTTTCAAAATAAATTAGGAATGAGGAAATGTTGGGAAGGATAATCCATGGCTCTCTACAGACGCTGCTTGCTCTTCTGGTGCTCCTCACACGCCGTGTTGGGAAGGACGTTGGATGGACAAGCATTGATGTAGGATCTTCACAGCCAACTGTGCTTTCTAGATTGACGTATCCTTGTGCCTCCATGGCAGGTCAAGAAAACCAAAATAATCCAGGAGTTTGCATGAGGGGATGGACTGATGCTCACTGAGGTGGGTGGAAATATTCCCACTGTCCTAAAAGGATTTTGGAGCCGACCTAAAGGAAGAAATTCCCTCTCTTATTCATAAGCTTCTCACCAGCTTGCTTTTAAACTTCTGAAAACATGCAGAGAAGCTGAATATAATATAATTAACATGTAAGGGGAGCTGGAGAACATTGGTGCTGAAAATAAGCTTAGGAATATGCAGGAGACTTACCCCAGCTTGTTCCCACATATTGAAGGGGGAGCAGGAATTACGAATGGGAAGTGAAGAAACGGACACCAAGCAGAAAAACGTGACTTTCTAGATTAAAACGAATCGACTTTGAGAGGAGCAATGGCTCCCTAGACAAGACAGCGAAATGTGTGCAACAGATTTCAAAGCAGGTGGAATCTGCGGAATTAAATTAGCTTCGTTAACGGGGAAGAAAACTGCCTCCAGCGAACTGCTGCAGAAAGTTTTGATTAAAAAATCTGGTCTGCTTCAGAGACAAAATAAATAAATAAATAAATAAATATTACTTTGGTCAAGTTAAATTTATATGTGTTTTCTGGAACGGGTCCCTCCCACATGGTAGAAACAAGGAGCCCATCGAGCTCGTAGGATACTAAAATTTCTACAAGGAAAGATGACAAAATATTGCACTTTGACAAAAGATTTTTTCCCCATTTATTTTCTCAATAAGATAGGAAATGACTGAAAAATCCTATTGAAACATCATCCTGCAAAGTCAAGGGTTAGGAAAACGCTAGGCAGCCTTCGCCGAGTCCCCCGGTGGCTTCAGATCCATGCCTTGCTGCACGGCATCTACGTGATTTATTTCCCTAAAAGATATTCATTAGTTTGCTTGCTCGCTGTTGTTCAAACACAACTTACTTTTCAACCCTGGTCAGAAGATAAAATTACTAAGCGCCTCGTGGGATTTCTGTAGCGTAAGCACTTTGCAAACACTAATGAATTTAATTTATATGTTCATTTCTGAGTTTATTTTCACGGCACTCCTGTGGAAAGGATGACATTATCCCCTTCTCACATTGGACTTGGAAAGATTAAGCTCCACTAATTTGGGGTGCTTTATGATGCTTACTATGCAATTCCTTAACAATTTTGCTCAGTTTTCGCTGTATCGGAGTCCTTTATTCGTTCAAAATGCAGCTTTTATTGACTTTGCGATTGTGTCGGCTCAACACTTTGGAAAATGAGAACTCCAGAAGCTGGTTGCAATGAGGACGTGCAGGGGTCACATCTCAAAGCCCAAGCAGCTCCGTGTCACGGAAGGACCCGGTACCAGGAACCAAACCAGCCTCTTCCACCGCGTCCTCTCTCATTGCCTGCACATGCAGCGATTAATTAGTCTGTATTTGTTAAGCACTCTGAGATGAGAAGCACTCCATAAAAGTTAATTGTTATTACTCGGGTATTTTTCACTATGGAGCTAGAGCATCCTTGCAAAAGAGCTTGGCTTGCCTCTCACTCGAAGCGGCTCAAATACACATGTTTATAACCGAAAACTCGCTTTTACTGCAGAAAATCTTTTCTGTTGCCCACAGTTTTTCAGCTAATCGTGTTTCCAAAGGTCTACTGCAGCCTCCAGACTCAAGAACTTTGTTGTCAGGGCAGAAATCTTGTGGATAACACAAAAAAAAAATCGTTTCTATTTCTTCACTGGAGCCCCCAAAGAGCAGCCCATAGAGCATCCCTGTCCCCGAGCACGCAGGGACATGAATCCTCTGACTCAAGCACATCTATTCAATGGGAAGTGCCCCACAGAATTTAACCTTTTCCTATTAGGACATGGGATTAAGACATTAAATTCCCTAGCTCCTTGTTGCAATTACAAGCACTGCTTCTTTTTGCTAATTTAAACACTTTTCCTGGAAGGGAGACAGTTCTGCTCAAGTCAGCTGCTTTGTCTGCTATTAAAAACAACGCTGTGCTTAGCGGGACTAATGTTACGCCGTTGACTTTCAAGGGATTTATTTAGAAATGAATAAACTGTTTACCACAACACATCAAATGAGGAAGAAATATATTTAGGCCCAGAGTTGCCTGCTATGATTAGGAATTATTTTGCCAGCCGAAGCGCCTAATTGCCGAAGGATACGGATCTGCAAAGGGAGCGAGAGGAAATAT